TAAAACCAAGAACTTTTAATCTGCAATTAAACTCAACCTTTTCCATTATTACTTTTTCTTTACCAGTTCTACTCAAAATATAGTCAGTTTTTACCCAACATATATATTCTCAGTCTTGTGTTAATTAATCTCTAGGTAACCAAGGTTTCTGTGGTACATACGTATGTATTCATTGGTGTCTGTGTATTTCTATAATACCTCGAAGATTCCAAAGTGCTTCATGACTCTCTTTAACTGTATAGTTCCCTGTGTTGGGAAGGTATCTGCCTTACTGTTCATTTAGCAAACCTCTTATAATTCATTTTTTAAAGTACTTTATTGATACATAATGCACATACCGTAACATTCACCCATTACAAATGTACATTCAATTTTTAGTAAACTTACCGAATTGTGCAACCACATGTAGTTTTAGAAAATTTTTATCACTTCAGTCAGATTCCATATGTCCATTTATAAGCAATACCTGTTCTAAACCCCAGCCAACCAATAACTACTTTCTATCTTACAGATTTGCTTTTTCTGGACATTTCATATAAACAAAATCCTACAATATATGGTCTTCTGTGTCAAACTTCTTTCACTTAACATACGTGTAATTAATATCTATGCCAGGACTACTAATTCTTCACATGACAAAAGGAAAGACTTCAGAGTCTGAAGTAAATTAAACCTAATCACACTCTGCTACATGATCAATTCACTACAAATAAAATCCAAACGGCTGACGTTGGATTAGAGAGCCTAGTGATCCAACCCTATCTACTTATCTGACCTCAGACCCACTTTTCTCCTGCCTGCTACTCTCCAATAAGCCCTTCTTTGGTTCCTTCAATGAGCCAAGGTCATTTCCACTTTAGAGTCTTTGCACAAACCATTCCCTTTGACTGGAATATGTTCACTCTTCCTTGATTCATATATAATCTTAAGTAACATCACTTTAGAGAGGCCTCCTTTGACCACCCAATTACAACAGAGACCCAGCCAAATCTCTAACATATATCAGTCTACTTGAATTTCTTATACTTCCCACTACCTGATGTTTATTTTCTTGTTGTTATTGCCTCTCCTTCCTACTAGAATGTAAGCTCTTTGAAAGCAGAGACCTTGTTAGACAGATTTATCAGCGTATCCAAGGCAAGCAAATAATAAATAGGCAAACAATATTTGTTGAATAAATGAATCACTAAACCTCTTAATGATGTCTAACTTGGTAGCCTTTACTACACATTCCCTTTAACAAGAAACATTTTCATAGGAATATGGGGTTTGCAATAAAAAAACTATTTTATGGCATGCCCATAATAGAATGTGTATCAACTGGTTTTGTGTGTTTTGAAGTGTTAGTCTACACACCTACTTACCTTCATTAATACTGATAATCAAGGGGCGCCTGGGTGGCTCAGTCGGTTGGGTGTCTGACTTCAGCCCAGGTCATGATCTCGCGGTTCATGGGTTTGGGCCCCACGTTGGGACTCTGTGCTGACAGTTCAGAGCCTGAAGCCTGCTTTGAATTTTGTGTCTCCCCCTCTCTCTGCCCCTTCCCTACTCATGCTCTGTCTCTCAAAAATAAATAAACATTGAAAAAAAAATACTGATAATCAAGAGTCTAGTTAATAAACTACAAAGTTGATGAAAAATACTGAATAGTTGATTCTGAGCTCTCTATGCTGCTTTAGGAAACAATGATAAGATAGGTTCAAAAGGGGCTAACAAACTGACAGGCTTAAAAAAATCAGTGCCCATTATTTCCAGGTTAGGAATTCCATACTGCTACTCTCTAACCTAAGGTAAAAATGTTGTAAAACATATACTATTCAGGTCTGTCACATTACCCAAAACAGTACTTCTGTTCAATAACTTGATGGCTGTTTTTGAACTCATGGGAAAGCTTTCACAGAGATGACAGAATCTCTTTCGAAAGTGGTGCCCACTTCCCTTTTAAAAAATTGAGAAAGACAGCATGGCAAGGTAACCTGTTAACATTCTACATTTAGCAAACATATTTCTGAGAACTGAAATCTACTCTTTCAATTAGGCCATGCTAAAAAAAAAAAAAAAAAAGCACAAGTTCATTAACTTTCTAAGAAAGTTTTTATCTGTCTAGTTTGGTGATTCTCAAAATGTACTAGCAACTTCAGCATCACCTGAGAATTTGCTAGAAATGCAAATTCTTAGACCCCCACCCCCACCCCAGATCTACTATATCTGAAAATTTCAGGGGAAGGCCAGCAATCTCTTTTATAAGCCCTCTAAGTAATTCTCATGAATACTAAGGTCTGAGAACCACTCATGTAAGTTATTGTTTTTCCCATAAATGCTAACCCTAAATACTTAGAAGAAAAAGAGCAGCTACTATAAGGAAGGGGACTTTGAAAACCTTAGGTATTATGCAGGGTATCTATACATTTGTTTTAAAATGTAAAAGTGCCATGAATATAATGACTGTGCTTTATCTTAGAACACTTAGAAACAGTGTCAATAATTACCTCTTTCTCCTAGAATATAAATAACTTGGGTGGTACAAAAAGTATACTTTCATAGAAATTTCATCAAATACCTAAGGCAGAACCTAAAAAGGCACTTCCTGTTTTTCACACAAGTAGTAAGTCATTTTCATACCCAGATTAGAGAATAGAACCAAGATGGGGAAACAATGCTTTGTAGCTGCCCATAAAAATCCTACATAAAACTGAGAGAAAGCTGAATTGTTAAAAATAATCTATGTAATATGGATATGATCTTAAGGGCTTCTATGGAGACTGTCAATTCTCACAGTAAATTTCCTCTCAAATACCTTCATCTATTTCAAACATGAGAACAATAACACTGTACCTGTCTATCAACCTAGAGGATCAGGAGGAGGACAGGGTCACCCTAATTTAGTTCCTGCCAGTCTAAATAACAGATATGCATGTGATGAAGACAAAAATCTTTTGAAAAGTTTTATGTTTAGAAAGAAGCAAAAAACTTTAAATGATAAGTCATGATAATTTAGACCAAAATATGATGGAAAGGGGCTAGGTAACTTTCCTCACCAGAAATCAAAATAAAACCAATATGAAAAAAATATATATACTCCATTAGCTTAAGGTTTATTACACATCTTTGTGTATCACATGATTAATTTATTCTTCTCTTTTTTTTCCTTTCTCCTGGCAACCATCAGTTCTTAAAAAGTACATGGTCTACAGGAAAGAATACTGGACTATGAATCAGGAAATTCCATTCACTTACTCCAGCACAGGAATGTTCAAGAGGGTTTTCAGGCAGCAAAGACGGTGGCGCAGAAAGGTGTCAGGTTGCCGTCCCACCCCCCAGCCAGGTCACATCTCAAGGGTCCGAGTTCGAGCCTCCCCCAAGGCTGTCAACTTCCTGGGTTGATGGCTCAGGAGCCTGGATTGCTCCATCTCTGTGTCTTCCCTCTCTCTACCCCTCCCCGTTCATGCTCTGTCTCTCTCTGTCCCAAAAATAAATAAACGTTGAAAAAAAAAAAAATTAAAAAAAAAAAGTGTAAAAAAGAGGGGCGCCTGGCTGGCTCGGTCAGTTAATCATTGGACTCTTGATCTCATCTCAGGTCATGATCTCATGGTTCACGAGATAGAGCCTGGCTTCCTTTGAGATTTCTCCTCTCTTGCCCTCTCACATGAGCACAGGTAGAAGATGAACACTTTCAAATAAATAAACTTTTTAAAAAAAGTGCAAAAAGGCCTTGAATTGGCAAGGTTTTTTTTTACATATGCATTTTTTTTTTTTCCAACGTTTATTTATTTTTGGGACAGAGAGAGAGAGAGCATGAACGGGGGAGGAGCAGAGAGAGAGGGAGACACCGAACAGGCTCCAGGTTTCATTATCAGCTCAGAGTTTCGACGCTGGCCTTTAACTTCACGGACCGCGAGATCGTGACCTGGCTGAAGTCGGACACTTAACCGACTGCGCCACCCAGGCGCCCCCGTATGCATTTTACTAGAAGACAAAAGAGAGCAAAATTCTTTGCCAATTTAAATGTAATAACTAAGTGCAAGTAATGAATACTAAAAGGTGAATCATTTATATCTTTTCTCTGATTCTTCAGAACCAAAGGCAAGATTTCTGAGATGACTGGCTAGCATGTCAATTAAATTGAGATATTCTTCCTAGGTAACGCAGAAAATAAAGACACCTCTAAAGCAACAGACACAAACTGGTGTCCAATGTAAATGTATCTTCTTGTTGTAAATATCTATTTTAAATTATGCTTTCCAGGAAGACACACTGGGGATATCTCATTTCATAGATTCTAAGATGTACATTTTTTTTCTATTAAAATATATCTGAAATAGGAATAAGTCCTAACAAGGAATTAAGTCTTAAAACCACTGTTGGCCATGAGCAGTCACAGTTGCCATAGATCATATATGTGTGAACATCAGAACACAAGATACCAAACTTCAGCAGCTTGGAAGAAAATCCCAGAAACAGTTATGGAGCACTCTTTTAACTCCTCAAAACTAAGACTGTTGGGTTAAAAATAACCAATACACTGAGATAATTACATAGGTGGCTTAAAAGCCTAATATGATTGGCTTTTGGCTCTTTTACAGATTCCTTTAAGAAATGCTGTATCACGATGCTCGTGATGGGACAGAAAATAATAACCATATGGAAAAACATGCATCAGCGATGCAGAGTAAGTTATTTGGAAGAGTGTGAAATGGCTTTAGGAATACAGAACCAATTTAATTAGATTAAATTTCCCTGGTTTTGTATGCGAAAGCTGGATATAAGATTAAAGTCTTTCTGTAGCTAATTTCAGTGGTCTATTCAATGACGGGGAAAAAGATCTAAGTTCTAGGGAAATAGTATAAAATATTTAATATTTAAAAATTTAGTACACATTAATGTATTACATAAAATAACATCTTAAAATTCATGAAATATAACAAAATCTACCTGCAATTTGTAGTTTTCTAAAACACTTTTGCTAACTACCATTAAGAAAAAAATCTTCGTAGCATTACCTGTAAACCACAGCAGCCTACAGCATTCATTATGGAAGCATTGTGAATAACTCGGTAAGAGATTCCCAGTTTTGTTGCTCTCAGAATAAGATCGCTGTGTGTGGTAGCCCTGTAGTGGGAAAAGATCAGGTTGGATTAAAGTAACACTGACTTTTTAAGAGAGTAAAGGTATAATATTTCATGAGTTCAAGCCAATCAAAGGGTTATGGGGGCTCCTTTTCCTCAATTTGGGGGCTTTCTGACAAGAAAAGTGTTAAGTCTACACATGCCCTTCACGGTGCTAAACTGCACTTGTTACCCTTTTAGAGCAGCCTTGGTAGCTACAGAGAAAAAGGGAAGTTGTACTTACTCTTTTGTCCCTTTAATACCTGCAAACACATCTGTGGAATGGAAGTTCAGCAAGTGAACTCCTGAGCAGCAATTCTCAAACTTTTTCGTCTTAGGACCCCTTTAAACTCTTAAAATGACTGCTCTGAGTTCTAAATGATGGCACAACTAGACCTACTCTATACTTTCTGCTCTATTTTGAAGGTTTCTTTTTTTGTATTTTGAAATGCTACAGAACAGATGATAAAGAACATTTTTATAGGCTATCAAGTTCTGCCTTTATATTAGGGTTCTATCTGACATAATCGTAGTTGCATTTTACATCTGTCTAGCAGTGATTTTATTTATAACTGTTTTCAGTCTGGTTACTGTATATAATTGTATGTGTGCATGTGTATGTGAGTGCACATTCTGCCTGTTGCCTTTCCTTTGTTGAGATAAATCTAATGATTATGATAAGATAAGACTTTGGTGGAGAGAGAATATATGTAAATGCAAGTATGGATACTATGAAATGTAAGCCCACATCAATTTAGAACTGCATTATTAAAAGCCTTTTTCCCCTGGATGAAAACTCCAGGTCCTGCTGGGGAAAGCAACATTGGTATGTTTGAGAAACTACATACAAACCAGCAGAACCTGTCAACTGGTCAATGCATACCAAGTAGGAAGATCAAGGGCTTTCACCCCATGAGGCAGTCAGAAACAGATTAACAAATGCCCACCAGGGAAGCCTGTTTTTAATCACACATAAAATAAAAACTAGTATGAAAAACAATCAATTTGATTTAGAGCAAGCTTTTAAAAAATAACATAAATGACAGTTATAAAGAATGTTTTTAATATCATCTTCAACAGAATTTCACTACTTAACACTAAGATTAAACAATACTGAATTAGTTATTTGGTGAGTTATTTGAACAGATGAGCAGAAAGAAAACCTGGTTTAAAATTATACCTCTCTTTACCACAACTTCATTTAAAATGACCAGATGTGGTTGGTATACTATGAAGATTTAATGACCTGACAAAGTGATCTGATTTTGTGAAACTGCCATGAATGTGATTAAATGAGTCCCTCAGATTCCTGCTATGAAAAAATTGGTATTTTATCATCATGATTACCCAAATTATACTGCTTCATGCAAAAGAAAAAACTGGCTTGAAACACAGGTTTAAACCATCATATTGGGCATTCCTTCTAGATCACGAATCATGAAAATGCTTCATTTTGGTGACTGGAAAAGTGTGTGTGTGTGTGTGTGTGTGTGTGTGTGTGTGTGTAAACAAATTTATTACTACTTCTGGGCACATGGCTCTATCCAAAATCACGTGTGTATATGTATGTATATATGATTTTGGATAGAGCCACGTGCCCAGAAATAGTAATAAATTTGTCTTAATAATATTCTTATTACTTGGAATTGCTCTGAAAGCAATTTCAAAAGAGATTCAAGAATGTTCTGATCAATGGAATCAATAAAATAAAGAACATAAAGATGACCAATTTAAATGTGTAAGACTTGGTATGTTTATTTTATAATAACGCTAGTTTGCAGATACAGTACTGCCACATTTGACAGTGCTATGGCTTGTGATCTGAAAGTTCATTAACATTTGTAATGATATGCTGTAAGTGATGTTCTCATAAACTACTGGAAGCATTATAAATTGGTACAGTCCTTGGGGCGCCTGGGTGGCGCAGTCGGTTAAGCGTCCGACTTCAGCCAGGTCACGATCTCGCGGTCCGTGAGTTCGAGCCCCGTGTGGGGCTCTGGGCTGGTGGCTCGGAGCCTGGAGCCTGTTTCCGATTCTGTGTCTCCCTCTCTCTCTGCCCCTCCCCCGTTCATGCTCTGTCTCTCTCTGTCCCAAAAATAAATAAAAACGTTGAAAAAAAAATTTTTAAAAAATAAATTGGTACAGTCCTTTGAAAAGTAATTTGATAATACATGCTTGAAAATATCCATGTTCAAAACTTTTGTTTTTTTTTCTTTGGTATTATAAACTTTTTGGAGAAAAAAAATCCAAAATGTAGGGATGAGAGAATGGAAGGAGGGGAAAAGGGTCATATACATTAATCCATACACGGCAGCTTTACTTATATTGGAGAAATAAATGGACTAATGATAATAACGTTGACATCTATTGAATAGCTACTAGATGCCAAGCACATCCATTGCATGGAATGGAAAAAAAATCAAATGACCTACATTAAAGCAAACAGAAGACAAGTGAATAAAGATATGTTTTTATGTATGTGTATGCCATGAAGGAAAAGGCACACAACATAAGGATAAAAAAAATTATGTGTTCATTGCTTATAAAATATACACGGCTACAGAGCACACTAAAATAAAGAATGGAATAACAAAATGGAATCACCATTAAAATTTGTTTAATCGTGACCTTGGTCAACTAAATTCTTTATGGGGATAGAAAGCTTAAGACTGTCATTGCTCACATGACTGGGTCAGATCTATTGACATACAATTTTTTTTAGAGTCATTTATATTCTTTATGTGATTAACTTCCACATTCCTATCAGTAACCTGGATAAAAGGGAAAAGATGAGAACTATATCAACTGACTTAACTGACTTTCAATTACCTTCTTTCAAAATTTAAGAGTGGATGATGGTGATGGCTGCACAACAGTGTGAATGTACTTAATGTCATTGAACTGCACACTTAAAAATGCTTAAAATGGTTAATATCATGTTATATAAACCTTATCACAATTTAAAAAATATTAGAATGAAGAATTTGAGATTAAGTACTTTTCAAAGTTTATATTCAGATAAGGGGAAAGGGATTTAAAAATAAAAAATTTTTGTGGTTGTACATAAGGAAGAATTTTGGTGCTTTGCTGCATTCCGTATTTTCTTCCAGGTTTATGCATTTAATGCACACAAATCCTAATTCTTCAAGGCCCAATGAAAATGTACACATTCCCCACCATTCTGTCTGCAAGTACCATATCTCAATAGTAATCCAGTCGGTAAGTTAAAAATAACCAAGGTACAGTAATTATTACACAAATCTGAATGTAAGATATGCATGATTATTGGTCAATGACATAGAGCAAATTAATTACCCAGGAGTTTAAAAAAAAAAAAAAAAAAAAAAAAAAAAAAAAAAAAAAAAAAAAAAAACAGGCCGCCCTCATTCCTGAATAAAATAATGGAGGACTCATGGAAGAGGTGGCATCTGAGCTGGGTCTTAAAGAATCTACTATTTTACTGAACAGAAACTGGGGATGACTACAGTTGACACTGCTGTACAGTATATCTGAAAGTTGTTAAGAGAGTAGATCTTAAGGTCTCTCATCACAAGGAAAAAACTTTTTTCTTTCTCTTTTTTGTATGATAGATGTTAACTAAACTTACTGAGGTAATCCATTCAAAATATGAGTCAAGTCATTTCACTGTTTACCTTAGACTTACACAGTGCTGTTATGCCAATTAAATGTCAATAAATTGGTAATAAAAGAAACAAACTGGCAAGAAAAGTCTATTTTAAGGAAAAAGTACGAGCAGCAAAAACATGGTAGATAAATACTGCAAAAACACTTACGAAATGGCAAAACTGAACAATCTGACTCTAGCACAATAAAAACAAAGAGTAACCAAAGAAGAAAGTACATAGACTATTAAAAGACTTAGGCCATGAAGTCAACTTCAGTGTCTACTCAAGGTTTTTGAGCAGGGTAGTAATAGCATCAAGGCACTTTAGGCCTCAATTTTTCATGTATGTGGAATTCTCCTTCTACCCCGAGTCCCACAGACCTCCTCCACAATTTCCACCTACTGAATTCTACACAGACCCAGCCCAAGCACCAACTCCTCCATAAAACCACCACAGAAAAACTCCAAACTCTTTGCCTTTTAATTTACACTTTTTTATCCTCATCCTCGACCTAATCTTTCAGCAGTGTATCAGAGTTCACCACTCTTTCCTCTCTAAAGTATCTCTTTTCTTGGCTTCTGTGACAACACACTCTTGGTTTTCTTCCTCCTCTGGCTCTTGACAGACCACGAAATACAAGTTTCCTAAGGCTTGATCCTAGGTCTTCTTTTCCCCTTGTTCTTTTCTAAAGTGATTTCAGGGGCGCCTGGGTGGCTCAGTTGGTTGAGCGTCCGACTTTGGCTCAGGTCATGATCTCACAGTCCGTGAGTTCGAGCTCCGCGTTAGGCTCTGTGCTGACAGCTCAGAGCCTGGAGCCTGCTTTGGATTCTGTGTCTCCCTCTCTCTCTGCCCCTCCCCCACTCATGCTCTCTGTCTATCTCTGTCAAAAATAAATAAACATTAAAAAAATTAAAAAATAAAGTGATTTCATCCGTTTCTCTAGCTTTAAACACCGTATCTCTCCCTCTCTCCCACCCCATATATACTCATGAATTCAAAAGCCACATATCCAAGAAAACCCCTTGAGCTCAAGTAGCAGATATCAAATTGCTTACATGACATCTCAAATTTAAAACATTTCCAGAACCAATTCTTGTTTTCCCCTACAAGTTTTCATCATTTCAAGAACTGGCACTATCAACTACTCAGTCACTAAAGCCAGAATTCTGGAAAACTTGCTTCTTTCCTTTTCCTCACCTACATACATAATACTGGCATTCCTCCTTCTAAATTCTTCCCAGTTTGCCTTTTTCTGTCTTCCACCAGAGCCACCTTGTCTCCCTAAATCCCTTCATGCAAGCATTTAGAATGATCATTTAAGAATGTGAATCAGACTGTGATTCTTTCCTGCTTAAAAACCACCAAAGATGTGCCAGAGTACTTCAAACAAAACCCTACCCCCACCAAGGCCTTACAAGATCTGGGTCTCACTCACTTCTTTAACTCCCTCTCATTCCCTCTCCCTGCTACTCCAGTCACTTTGGCCTTCTAGGTCTTTGAATACATTCTTGCTGTTCCATCTGCTTACAATGTTCTTCCCTTCTGCTATTCCTTTCATCTTTCAGACACCTGTTTAAATATTACCTCAACAAAAAGGATTTTCCATATACCCTGCACAAATTAGCCTATTCCTGTGAGTCCTTTTTTTCCTTGACAGGCCTATCAAAATTTTAATTTGTTATTTTTTCTTTCATTGATGTCAGCCTCCCTTACTAAACTATGAAGCCTGTGTTTTATCATCTAACATATATCCAGCATGCAGGAGTGCCTGTCATGATATACGTGTTCCAAAGATATTTATTGAATGGAGAAATGTCAGTCTAAGATATGCCTCATCTTCCTTTGTGACCCCAGGCAAAATATTAAACAACTCTTTCCATTAATATTTCATTGATATCTACTATATTGTGAGGGAAACTAGGGAGATAAAATTGTGAAGGATAGCCTACAAATATAAAAGGTAGAGGTATATATTTATTTAAAAAAATGCATTGTGAGGCAATGTATGAAAACTCATATGAATAATACTTCAGCAGTTAGAAACAGAACTTCTCATCTGGGTAATAAAAGACTGCATCACTGAGAATATGATGTCTGAGTTAGGCTTCAAAAGATGGCTGGACTCTGACAATCAGAAATATACCAAAAGGTATTACAGATGCAGGGAAGAGTTTGAACAGATGTATAGAATGAGAAATCAAGATGATGGTGGAAGAACAAACTGGTTGGCATGAGTGTGGGCAAACCAGTACAAGAGAACCAGATACAGTTAGAAGGGCAGGCTGGACAGTACCTTTCATGTCTGGCCAACAGAGCTACTAATTCCCACTTGAGCTCAAGTAAGATTTTCAAGTTGTGGCTTCACAAATATAAATTTGGCTACAACATAGGTAATGAAATAAGAATCTGTACCTGGACCAGACAAAAGGCTACTATATTAAACTAGGGAATAAAAAAGATATAAAAAATTTTGGTTAAAAAAAAGAAAGGTCAAAAGCAGTGCTTCTCATACTAACTAGTAAAAGGTCAATACTTTAAGTTCTAAATGGTCATGGAACAATAGTTTTGTAAAATGCAATCAAAATTAATGATTAGGAAAATAAAATATAAAATACAAAATATAAGCTCCAAATTATGAGATTCAGCAGAGATAAAATTACTTCTAAAAACTGCTATAGAATTTCTAAATGCTTACTCTCAATTTCTGTAGTCCTCATCATGGACTAGTAAATTTGTGGCCTGGGACCAGTCTATAAACCTCACATTGAGCAGCACTGGTTTATTGGGCTCTGTCAGTGACTAGATGCCATGGAAGTCAAAAGTAACTCTGAGATTACTCTTTTAGGTGACTGTAAGAATTGTTATACCATCAAGTAAGAAAGTTTGGTGAGTTCAGAAGGTGTCCCTATAAAAAAATATGGAATTTTGGCAGGAATCCAGTGCAATAATGAGAAAATCCTACAAGAGTTTCAAGACATTTTATACACAGAATTTTTCATCACCTTTATTTTATTTTACTATTTTCTGGCTAAAAGAAATAAAAGAAAAATACGTACTGCTAATTTGGAGGAAGACTTACAGAAAACAATGTCATAGGCTAAAACAAACTGTTATTTTTAAATGTGTGATTATACAATGTCATTTGCAACCAAACATAATAAGGAAACATAATCTCTGGCATACCATACTGATGTAAATTACTTTTTTTTTTTTTGACAGACACATGCACATGTAACTCCATTCTTTTTGAAAAACATCCTTGGTGGTGAGTTCATAGTGCTTTAATTGTCCTTATGTTCCTTAAATCTGTGACATAAATCTTGGGTCACCAGCTGGAGACAAAGAACTCCTCTGTTTTGCTTGACATTAGAGATTGATGATGCTTGACTAGACAGGTAGAAACCCATCTTTTTAGTAATGGGGAAAGAACAGAGCTCCCAAGGGATATAAGAAATTGAAATCTGAGGCTTGACAGATTTTTAAATTCAAGGCAAGTAAAGTGACAATGTTGATAAATATGAAGTGATTAAAAAAGAAAAAAAAAGCTTAGGATAAAGGAATCAGAAGATGCTTGCAATTTAGCTGAAAAATAAATGGTAGGTGTAACTCTTGATAATGTAATAAACTTATTAATAATGATATACTAGTTAGGTCATTTGATGTCCTAAGTTATCTTCTAAAAGAATAGCAAAAGCAATGATACAAACTTTAGAACAGACCCTTAATAACCAATGTAAGAGTTACATATGATGACATCCTTATCAAGCAGATTTTCTTCACTTATCTCAAAGATAATGAAACTTTATGAGATTTTAGAACCTACGTAAACACAGTCCTTTATTAAGACCTGGCAAGTAAAAGTTTTAAATGGAATAATTCTTACCGAGTTAAAAACAAGCAAATAAATTAAAATATCTGCTTTGACTTACCCAAATGGATCACCAACCACAAGGAATGCAACATCACAGATATCGGCATCCTTTAAAATATTATCTGCTTCTTGTTCCACTTCTTCTCTATCAGCAAGAATCAATTTTCTTCCGTAGAACTCTTCCTACAGATTTAGTCCAATATCAAAATGAGACAGCAGGTGACCATTTACACACACACACACACACACACACACACACACACACACACACACACACACTAATCTCTGGGGCTGGTGCAAATTTTGGCAACCATCCAGACATCCATACGTAGATCACTGAATAGGACTCATCAGTGAGCTAGCACTCTGTAACATGTTGCAATTAAACTCTGTCTTTGGGGCTATCTTAATATCCCAAGAGGAGGTAGACCTCCTAACATCTGAGACTTTCTGCATTTTAAATTTATCTAAATCTGAGTCTAACAGACCAGGCAGAATACTGTAGAATGAACAGAGAACATGTTTGTACGAGCCTTACTTCATAAACATACTAATAAAAATGAATATATTAAATAATAACTATAAACATACATGGTAATTTGGGTTTAATTAAATTTTCCATAGGAAAACCTATAGGACTCTGGCTAAAATAAAAGGTAACTTCAATGAGAAATAATAGAAAATTAAGATTCAGTTATTTACAGAACCAGCAAACATTCCTATATAATTGCAGGAAAGATTGATTGAAAACTGTATTTCTGGGGTGCCTGGGCTGAGTGTTAGACTCTTGGTTTTGGCTCGGGTCATGATTCTAGAATCATGGGATGGGCCCCACGTCAAGCTCCATGCTGAGCCATGAAGCCTGCTTAAGATTCTCTCTCTCTCCCTCTGCACCTCTTCCCCACTCATTTTTTCTCTAAAATAAATAATAAGAAAATAAAAAAATAAATAACAATTGTATTTCCTACTTCCTGCTAAAAAGGCAGAGATGCAGGGGAGAAAAAAGAATTCTAAGTATATAGGAAGTCTCAACACAAACTGCTTTGTGAACCAATTCCCTGAAGTTCAACTCTAAAGAATAAACCCAGGAGGCTGACCTTAATGGGTGGCAGCATGTAAGTACAGAGAGTGAACTGATGTGCCAGTGGTCATATGGCAGTGGTTACAAACTATTATGCAAAGTCATGAATCTTATTAACTGATTTCCCGTGGAATAATATGTAAGTCAAATATAGTAAAAGTGGATTCATAGACAAATACTATTTCTTACATACTGAGAAGTTTGAGCTATAAAGATTATATTAGAAGTCAAATGTTACAAGGACTGCTATAATAGAAGCGTTATCTGGTACTCAATATCTGTCAAGCAAAAGAGTAAATGAACAAATGATTAAGCATTTGAAGATAAAGGCTATAGTTCCAACTCTGATAACTATTTCTTAATACTTAACTAGAATCTGTTCTTGAAAAAAGATCCCTTCCCTTTCTCTGCATATCTTAGCAGAGATGTTCCAGAAGTTCCCAATGACAACGACGTTTTTACAGATAAAAAGTGTTCTCTTTATTTTCACTTTTATATTTTTTCTTAATAATTCATTTGCATATAACTTCCTTTAATTTCATGAGCCCAGAAAACTTATCAGTGGTAGAACATTTATATTCACATATATCTAAGACATACACATCATTACTGAAAACTGAAGGAATTCTTTTTTTCCTGAACTTCTAACATCTTTTAATATGAAATTTATTGTCAAATTGGTTTCCATACAACACCCTGTGCTCAACCCACAGGTGCCCTCCTCAATGCCCATCACTCACTGAACTTGTAACATTTCTGTAAAAAATTTTTAAAAATCACATGTGACTAGCTTAATGCTAGCAGTAATTTTAAATCCTATTTAATACTTTATGATTCAACAACAGAAAACCCCACTCTTCTCAAGACTTCTATCATGTATCACTCCATATTTATTACTTAAGAAACATTTCATTATCTAACTGAAACACAATATTAAAAAAAAAGTATCCACATATGCATAACTGTGCACATACACCCCAAACACTCCATTATAACCAAATAGCTGATCCTTTTGAAAAAAATGTAAAAAAGGGAAGAGATAATAAAAGTAGTAAGAAACTGGTATTACATTATTCTTAATTTACCTACATTATTCTTAATTTATTCATTTACTCAAAGAATATTTCTTTTTTTAAAAATTTTTTAATGTTTATTTATTTTTGAGGGAGAGACAGAGCATGAGCAGGGGAGGGGCAGAGAAGGAGGGAGTCACAGGACCTGAAGCAGGCTCCAGGCTCCGAGCTGTCAGCACAGAGCCCGACACGGGGCTCAAACTCACAATCTGTGAGATCATGACCTGAGCCGAAGTCAGACGTTCAACTGACTGAGCCACCCAGGTGCCCCAAAGAATATTTCCTATACACAACCTCCAAGCCAACCTCTACGCTTGTTGTCGGCAAATAGTGCTGAATGAGACATACATGGCCCTTGTCCTGTGGCTTATAATGTCTAGTGGGGAATTATCTAACCACATCATTAAGTGCTATAGAAGCATGGAATCTAATAAGAGTCAGGGAAGGGGCAGGAGGGAAAAGCAGTATTATTTAACAAATAATTTTAAATTTATATTATACATTATCAAATGACTCATTAGCCAGTTTTTGTATAGCATCAGCCCTAATCTCCTCCATGAAAATGAAGGTAAAACTCAAAAAACTCATTGCTTTAAGTTGAAAGCAATGTTTAAAGCTTCTTGCTTTAAGTTGGCAGGTTTTGTATAAGGAGGGCAAGGTAAAAAGTCAAAATTAAAATTACTTTTGGGTATTCCTGGAAGGATACATGAAAAATTAGTAATAACTGCCTCTATGAAGGGGAACTGGGCTAGAAATATTGCAATGTATACACCATTTAGTATCTTTTAAATTCTTTTTTAAATGTGTATTTATTTTGAGAGAGAAAGAGAGACTAGGGGAGGGGCAAAGAGAGAGGAGAATCCTAAGTAGGCAAAGAGAGAGAGAATCCTAAGCAGACTCTATGCTATCAGCACAGAGCCCTACATGGGGCTCGATCATACAAACCGTGAGATCATGACTTGGGCCAAAATCAAGGGTTGGGACCCTTAATCAACTGAGTCACCTAGGCACCCCTAATATCTTTTGAATTTTATACCATACAATGTATTACCTAGTCAAAAAAAAAAAAAAAAAAAAAAAAAAAAAAATAGAAAAGTAGAAGCCAGAAGTAGAATGTGTAAACAAACAAAATCTTAAGAAAACAAAATCTTAAACACACACACACACACACATTAACATTTAAAGAAAGAACAGAGAAATAGGGTTTACAAAAGGGACTGAGAAAAATGGAAAAGTACAAATAAAACCAAGAAAAAGTCATGTCTTAAAAGCCAGCTTCAAGGAGTGAGCAAGTATGTCAAAAGCAGTAAAACAGGTACGAATTGAAAAGTATCCTCTGGCATTCTCAGCTATTAAATAATTGCTCAACAAACAAATATTTCAGAGGAATGGAAATCAGCTCACAGGAGTATGAGACATGAGTGAAGTAGGGACAATAAAAGTATGCTGCTTTTTCAAAAAACTTTGGATAAATAAGAGAATAGTAACTATGGAGAAAAGATGTTTAAAAGTGGAGAATTTTGGGGTGCCTGGCTGGCTCAGTCAGTTGAGCATCTGACTTCGACTCAGGTCCTGCATCAGGCTCTGTGCTGACAGCTCAGAGCCTGGAGCCTGCTTCAGATTCTGTGTCTCCCTCTCTCTGCCCCTCCCCGACTCGCTCTGTCTCTGTCTCAAAAATGAATAAACATAAAAAAAAAAAAATTAAAGGAGAGAGTTTTCAAAAGAGACAATACCTGAATATGGTTTCAGGTTCAGGAGAGAAGCATATTAAGACAGACTGAACATAAAGAAGAAAGAATAATTGATGGGAATAAAGTTTCAGAGGAAGGGAGAGGAAGAGGTTTGAGAAAAACACATCTACTTAGTCTTGAACAGGAAGAGAACTTCAATCTAACAAGCCATTTGCTTTTTTTTTTTTTTAAGTTATTTATTTATTTATTTATTTTTGAGAGAGAGAGAATACAAGCAGAGGGGCAGAGAGAGGGAGACACAGAATCTGAAGCAGGCTCTGTGCTGACAGCGCAGAGCCCAATGCAGGGCTCAATCCCACAAACTGTGAGATCATGACCAAAGCCAAAATGAAGAGCTGGACACTACTGACTGAGACACTCACACGCGCCTAACAAGTCATTTTCTAAGACTGGAGGGAAGACAGATTCAGATTTAGGGCAAGGACAAATGGGAAGTTAATGGGAAGTTAATGAAGGTCATAGCTGGTTGCCTCATCTTTCTCAGTGGGAAGGCCTTTACTGTCTTCTCCTCTATCCCTCCAATATCATTCCACAGCTATCAGATAGGAAGACAGGAACTAGAGCGAGTTGGTACCCAGATGAAGTAGATTAGGAAGAAAAGGGAGGGAACACACATACTGGAAGAAAATGAAAGTTATTTGAGTGATGCCCAAGAACAAGTATAGCAAATTATTATGCTTGTTTTTTCCATGCTTTTGCTCATAATTATTTTTTCTTCAGTAAAGAACACTATGCTCTTTCTCTTCCCTTTACCAAATCTTATCTATAACAACTGTCTCTTTCTCTTCCCTTTGCCAAGTCTTATCTATAATAACAACATTTATAGTATATTTACATTAGGATCACTCTGGGGTCAGGCATAGTTCTAAGAACTTATGCCTATGAATTCATTGAATCTTCGTTATAATCTATGAGATAGCCCCTATTTTTATCCCCGTTTTAGAGATAAGAAAAAGACCACAGAAAAGTTAACTGATTGTCCAAAGTCACAGAACCTTGGTTGATTACAAAACATCACATGTATCATAAATAAGCCATAGACAGGCAGAGCTTAGTGATCTCTTCTGCTTTTTACAGGGTGGCTACAGCCCCAAAGTTAGCTCCTTTTGGCCATAGCTGCTTTCTCTATTTACCCTGCGGAGCCGTGCAAATATTGCCATTTTCAATCTAGACTATGAAAACAAAAGAAATAAAACAAAAAGATTGGGATGCATTATTTTAAGACACAGCTTAAATTCCATCTATTCTGTAGTCTCCCTTGACCACCATGGACTGAAGTGATCTTTTTTTTCTTTTTTTAATGTTTGTTTATTTTTGAGAGAGCGCAAGCAGGGGAGGGACAGAGAGAGAGAGGAAGACATAGGATCTGAAGCAGGCTCTGCTCTGACAGCAGAGCCTGATATGGGGCTCAAACTCATGCACTGTAAGATCGACCTGAGCTGAAGTTGAATGCTTAACCAAACTGAGCCACCCAGGTGCCCCATGAAGTGATCTTCTTTCTTATATGAATTTCAATTAGAATTAATAACTAGTAATTATTTATTATGTAAGGCAGCTTCTCCTAATCCATGAAAACAAGAGCACTGGCTTAAGTAAGATCATCTAAGTTCTTCCCAGCAATATAATTTTATAGCTTCTTTCACTGTTGTCATGAATTGTTATTTAAATCTTCCTTTATTATTTATGTTTTCCTGGGTATAACACAGATAAATCATGAACCACTTGAGAACAAAGGCCATACCTTTTACTTCTTTGTATAAGGCACTACAAGTGTATCACACCAAATCGGCATAGAAGATCATAATTTATTCACAGAAAGTGCCTAAAGAAATTCAAAGTGTATGTAACAAAACTAAAACTCTTCCCTGGATTCACTGTCTCTAGTTTAATGAACTTTTGAATACTACAGAATATATAAACAATACTACCTGTTTGGCAATTTCAAAACAATAGCTTTCAATGTAAGATAAAGTCCAGATTTGTTTAGTAACATCTATATATGGCTTTCATAATTTTGTGTGATTATTGATAAAAGAAAGCACATGTTCACTGCAGAAAATAGGTTTTTCCAATCTTTTTTTTGCACTGTGTAATAATTATCCAGTTATTGAGTCCAGATTGTACATACAGGTGTGAGCACGTGTCAACAATTTTTAAAAATCAATTTGTTTAAAGAAAGAAAGAAAAGGTAGAAATGAAAAAACAAAAAGGAAGTCACTGAAGAAAAAGTGGCTCTGACATTTTACTCGGCAATATAAGGCATGAATTTATTTATTTATTTATACCTTAACTTATTCTAGAAAAGAGTTACTAAAGGTGGCTGATGTCACACAGAAAGTTGCTCAGGAAAAAACATGAACTAAAGACCTGGAGAAAGTCATGAAGAACAGACTGATGGAATTTTGTGATAAGAAGATTCAAAATTGACCATTTTGCTTGAATGCTACCTTTCTATGAAATTATTATTCTGTGAAGCTATGGTCTATCCCTGAGTATACAGAGACACAGTATGTTACAAAGGTGAAGAGTGGTGGTTCTCAACTCAGGACTGCCTCGGCTCATATTCTGGCTCTATCACTCATTATCTGTATGACCTTGGGCAAGTTTCTTTGTGCCTGTAAACTGTGTACAGTAATTATAGAATAATAATCCTGTTCCACATATAAAGCACTTAGAACAGTACATAGTAAGTATTCTATTAATATTAGCACTTATTATTGTAGAGAAATGGATATTCCAGCACCTTAACAAAGAAAACATAATTTACCTGTAGGTGAGGTTGGGCCCAGCCCGAATTCTACATTTTTGGGAAAAGAATACTTGAAAAAATTACAGCAACCAACATTACCATTTAGTTAGCACTTAAAATTTACAAAGCACTTTCAAATATATCATCTTTTTTTAAGTTATCTTTTTAATGTTTATTTATTTTGAGAAAGAACTCAAGCAGAGAGAAAGAGAGAGAGAGAGAATCCCAAGCAGGCTCTGTGCTTACAGTGCACAGTCTGTGAGACAGAGCCCCGAAATGGGACTCTGACAAACCGTGAGATCATAACTTGAGAGGAAAATCAAGAGTTGGACGTTTCACCAACTGAGCCACCTCAAATATATCATCTTAATAAAACCCTACCTTAATAAAATCTCCAATCGGTTATTATCTCTATTTTCACAAATGAGATAATTGAGGTTTAGACAAATCCAGAAATGTGCCTATCAACAACTACCATTTCTGGAGACTTTTGTGACAGGCACTACATTAAGAACCTATGAGGTGGGCATTCTTATCCCCATCTCACAAATTAAAAAACTAAAGTTAAAGGACTTGTCCAAGGTTATATGGTAACATGTAACAGAGAAGATTTAAAGTCAGGTCCAAACTTTCCTCTATGCTAAATCCTGACATCTTACCCTAAAAAATGCTGATTTGTTTTATTTGTCTCTACTCTCTTAGAAGAATTTAAGTCCAGTCTAGTTTTCCTTAATTACTGGTAAGAGAGGAATACTTATTATTTTGAGCTTAGACACTTTGCTTCCATCCTAACAAATCAGAGTCAACAAATCAAAGCTGGTCGTTAGATGCAACTTTCATATCAATACCAATTCAAGTAGCAGTCCTTAATTCCTTATAACTCTGAGACCAGAATTCCCTGGGCTGTGAATCTGAGAGGGCATTAGACCTGAAATTCTCTAGGTCATTTTTTTTGTTTAGAAGCCTTGATAGACCAGACAATTCTAAAATCCTCTCCCTCCTCCTATAACACGTCCAACACTCTGTTCATCTTAATTTACATTCCATTTGGAGTTTGACAATGGACATGAACTACTTAACCCCTCCTCCAAAATGTACTGAGCCCTTAACAAGAGCCAGCTAAATGCATGATAAATTAACAAATCCTAAGTTTATTAAGTCCCAGGCTTATTCAGTATACACAAGAGTATGTGTATAAGCCTTACGGGGAGTCTTTTTAAAGGTAAGCCGTCTCTGGATAGGATACAGACAGAAAGGCGATTACCATTCCCTATGGAAATACTTCAAAGGGAGAAGCTTTCAGCGTGGTTTCTGCATATATAACCAACTCATTAAGGCTATGTCAGTACCTCATTAGCACTCAACTCAGAAAAAAATGGACTATCTCATGAAATAAGGGATTTTGAGAACTATCCCCAGGAGTGTAAAGTAACTTTCCTTTCCTATTTACTGGAGAAAACCACAAAATTAGACTTGTAAAGTAAGACAAAAGCACCCTTTCATTTTCCAAGTCACTTGGTTGTTGTATTATTTCCATTCTTGTACTCCTCAGATCCTTAATGAGCAGGGGATGGGTTTTAAAAGGTTTCAACAAGCAGACCTGAAAATTGCGTTCAGCTTAGTGTAATGAAAATCAGCTGTTAGCTTTCTTCCCAGGACTGGAGATCCTTAAGCACCTACCAAGACTTCCTTCCCTACAGTCAGGATTGAGGTATAGGCTTCCAGATACACCCGACTGCAGCGTCTAACAATTTCCAGGCCCTTGACTGTGATGTCCTTGGCATCGCCCAGGCCCAGGCCGATCAGGTAAAGCATTTCAAAGTCCAGGGAGACTGCAGGACGAAGCGAACAAGAAAAACATGTGTCAGCTACACCGAGGATATCTAAAATCTAGTGATGAACATGGAAACTGAAAACCAAAACAGCCGGAGAAGAGACGGCAATCACGAGCGAGGTCTGAGAACCTCACTCCACGCCTCTTACATAAGGACTGGAATGAATGTTTGTGAACAACCCTACCCCGCATTTTCTCGTTACACCAACCTAGGAGCACACAATTACCCTAGAGAGAATTGTAGTTGGGTCCCCAAAAGCCTAAAAGCAGCCTTTCCGAAAATATAGCTACCGAAAGCGATGATTCGCCCACAGAGAAAATCCACGCCGCCGGCCTCACCGACGGTGCCGCAAAACGTCAGCGCCTTTACTGCACTTTACGACTAGCTGGAGGGGAGGGCAAGCCGGCCTCTGCGGGTGGGGTGGGGGAGATCTGCCGGCTGCGCCAGAAGTGACCCGCCCGCTGCTAGGGTGGGGAAGCGAAAGGTCAGTCGGTCGGGCAGTCTGTCTAGAGTCCCCAGCATGGCCTCTGGGAAAGGACGAGGAGCACCCGCGATCCCCTTAGCCAGTGGCTTTACACCTCCCCAACCTAGGACAGGGTAAGTGCAGGAGCTCTTTGCCTGGGAGGAGCTGGACCCGAGGTTGGGTAGCGCAGCGCGGCGCGTTACGCCTTTTCTTCTCCGGTCACGAGAACGGGTGACGTGTGGGACGGACTTCCCTAATTTGCTCGGGATCGCCCTAGTGCAGAGATTTCCATACTCGCCTTTGCATTCCGCTGCCGTTTAACCAGCTACCTCCCTGATGAGGTGTCAGTGTAGCCAAACCTGGCCATCAGTGTGACTCTGATTTCCTAGCGGGGCGGTGATTCCTGGGGTTTGTCCCCAACCCCAAGACCTCATGCCGGAGTGCCCCGAGGGGCGTGACTGGGATATGCCTCAGCCATCCTCAGTGTCGGGAAGCCCAGAGCCGCCCTCTCGTCCCCCACCCCCCCCACCCCCCCGCCCCGTGCCTTTCCAAGTGACCTTTAAGAGCGCTCAGGAATTTCAGACTTAATGCTTCCACAGGGGGAATTCCTATAGTTAGTTAGATGTAGTTCCGATATCGAAATGGTTTGTTTTGACTGTAAATGCTGTTGGTAAGGTCACTAGTGACCTCATCCAAGTTAAGAAGACAGTTTCCATTGTTTATCTTAGGCAGTGTTGATTATTCAGAATTTTCCTGCTGCTTCTCAGACAATGCCTTGTGTCTTTTTTTGCCCAATACCTGTTACTTAACCCTTAATTTTATGTTTTTTCCTAGGCTCCATCCACCCTTTGCACTTCACATTCAATACACTCTTCATGACTGATTCTATCCAGTTTCATTACATCCATCCATTCTTCATACCATAAACAAAAATTAATTCAAATGGATCATAGATGTACATATAAACTATATGGAAAACAAAACAATAAAACTTCCTAGAGAGAGGATAGGAGAAAATATTTGTGATCTTATTTAGGCAAAGACTCCTCAGGTGGAACACCAGAAGCATGATGTAGAAAAGAAAAATTGAGAAATTGAAGTTGAGAGAGATAAAACCTGTTCTTCAAAAGACATTGTTGAAGCCACACACTGGAAGAAAACATTCGCAAAACATGTATCTGGTAAAGGATTTGTATCAGGAATGCATAAATAACTCTCAAAAGGTAAATAAGAAAACAACTTAATTTTTTAAGTAGGCAAAGAATTTGAAAAAATCTCCCAGAGAATAAGGTAAACAGATCCCCAAAGAGGATACACTAACATCAAATAAGCCACATCATTAGACATTAGGAAAATAAAAATTAAAACCACGGTGAGAATCTAGTATATTCCTATTAGAATGGCTGAAATTGGAGGGGCGCCTGGGTGGCGCAGTCAGTTGGGCGTCCGACTTCAGCCAGGTCACGATGTCGCGGTCCCTGAGTTCGAGCCCCGCGTCAGGCTCTGGGCTGATGGCTCGGAGCCTGGAGCCTGTTTCCGATTCTGTGTCTCCCTCTCTCTCTGCCCCTCCCCCGTTCATGCTCTGTCTCTCTCTGTCCCAAAAATAAATAAAAAACGTTGAAAAAAAAATTTAAAAAAAGAATGGCTGAAATTGGAGGACCTGGGTGGCTCAGTCAGTCAAGCATCTGACTTATCAGTCAAGTATCCAACTTTGTCTCAGGTCATGATCTCACAGTTTGTGAGTTCAAGCCCCGCATCCGCATCCAGTTGCTGCTGTCAGCACAGAGCCCACTTGAGATCTTCTGGCCCCCTCACTCTGTGACCCTCTGTCTCTCTCTCTCTCAAAAATAAAAATAGTAATAAAAGAATGGCTACAATTAAAAGCAAAAACAAAATAAAACCCTGAATATTCACTCTCAATAATTTTGGGTATCTCTAGTATTTTGCTGACTCAGATTTTAATCTCCCATTTAGACCTCCCCTTCAGCCTCCTATATTTAACTTTCTGCTGGAAATCACCTAGATAACCCAGAGACATCACATTCAAAGCTGAATCCATCTTCTTCCCTTTCAACTTGGCTTTTCCTTCTGTATTATCTACTTTGGATGGAAGGCATTATCAACTACAGACTTATGCAAGCCAGACACGTGGAAGTTACCCCCCCATTCAGTCTAACATATCTGCCTCTCTTGGTAGAAACCTTACCTACTGTCGCAGTCTTTCTTTAGGTCTTCATGTCGCTCCTGCAGCTGGTCACCATGTCTCCTGCGCATTCATACTTCTAGGGGCCAGAGAGATCTAGCTAGGATACAATCTGAAAATGTCATTCCCTTCTAAAAATCCTTTTGAGGCCAAGAAAAAGTCCAGGCTCTTCAAAATATCCCACAGGATCATCCCTGGAGTGACCTCTGCCTACCTCTCTCTAGCCTCATGTCTCTCCACTCCATACCACGAGCTTTTACTCTGGCACTACTCTTCTGTGCCCACAACATTCTCCCTTTGTGCCTCTGTGACTTTAGTCAGGCTGCCACCTCTACATTGAATATTCTCTCCCATTCTCTCCTATCTAGGCCACTGCTCACTCTTTTTTTTTTTTTTTTTTTTTCAACGTTTATTTATTTTTGGGACAGAGAGAGACAGAGCATGAACGGGGGAGGGGCAGAGAGAGAGGGAGACACAGAATCGGAAACAGGCTCCAGGCTCTGAGCCATCAGCCCAGAGCCCGACGCGGGGCTCGAACTCACGGACCGCGAGATCATGACCTGGCTGAAGTCAGACGCTTAACCGACTGCGCCACCCAGGCGCCCCAACTGCTCACTCTTTAAGACTAAGTTTAGGAGTCCTTCCCAGAAATCCCTGAGGTAGGGTTGAGTATCTCCTTGTAATTACAATAATACTGTATGCATATACTTATCAATCAACTTAAGTGTTTTATAATTGCCCATTTGTGTATCTTCCTTAACCAAACCATCAATTTCATAAAGTTAGGGCCTGTATCTTATATTACACAATTACAGAATTGTATCTTATATTACACAGTTACCCAAGATACACTTAGTGCAGTGTCTGTCACATAGTAGGTATTCAGTAAATAATCATTAAATAGATCATTTATGTATACACTAGTAGCTGAGCAATTTCTTTGAATTATGGTGTAGTTTCCTATCTTTATGAAATAAATGCAGGGTGTGGTATATTTTAGATGACTCCCAAAAAGTCGTTGATGGAATGTCAAACAAAAACAATGCCTCACTTATGCCACTTCAGAAAGTTATTTACGTTAAAAGGTTTATGACACAGTTCACGTATACTTCATATGCACCCTGTTGAGTAGGTAATCTTTCCAATGTACTGATCATGTTTTTGTTGTCAGATTTGCTTTGGGTAATTCCAGGTAGATTTACAGTGAAAAGGCAACGTCAAAAGGAATAATTAATCAAAAGGAAGGTGTTGTCTATCTCCTTTCAGGAAATCTGTATTGAAAATGAAGTTATTCTGGGTAGGTAAGGAAATATTCTTTTTAGATATGGAAGCAATTTCAGTTTTTACTCTTCAGAATTCAGTCAAAGGAACTGCTTTCCCTATAGAATTCTTAAACCTTTTTACCTGCCTTCATTTCTCAATAAGAGTGTAAATTTAGGAACTTTTCTGGAGATAAAGTAAAGGTGTTATGCAAATCTCCCCAACTCAACAAATATAACCAGCAAACTCTTGCTGTTCTTTTTTTGCAGAATTATTCTGTGTGATTTGGACATTTCTCTCTTACCATTTAAAACAGTTTCAAATATGATTGCATTTCCCTCAATAATTTATTATTAAAAATTTCAAACACTTAGAAAAGTTGAAACAGTTTTATAATAAACATCCATATAGTCACCTCTTAGGTTTGTTCTATAGTTGTTAACATTGTGCTGTATTTGTTTTATCACATGTTTATCCATTCATCCATCCATCAACCCATCTTATTTTTTGATGCATTTCCAAGGGAGTTGCAGACGTAAGTACACATATTGATTGCATTTTGCATGAAAGATAACCCCCTCATCTAGGTAAACAGATTAACAAAACAGCTTAGTTTGATGATAATGAAAGCAGTTAGTCAGAATACATATTTATAATGCCATTGCAAGTTTGAATCTCACATGGGGGGGGGGATGGTTATAAAGAACTGTGATTCTAGGGCTTAAAAAAAAAAGAAAAGGATGAAATGAAAGCCTTTTTAGTTTTAGTTTAAAGAATAACTGAGCACATGGGTAGCTCAGTTGGTTAAGCATCAGACTTCAGCTCAGGTCATGATCTCTCAGTCTGAGTTTGAGCCCCGCATCAGGCTCTGTGCTGACAGCGCAATGCCTGGAGCCTGCTTTCAGATTCTGTGTCTCCCTCTCTCTCTGCCCCTTTCCCACTTGTACTCTGTCTCAAAAATAAACATTAAAAAGTAATTAAAAAAAAAAAGAATAACAAGGCCTAGAGAGTTTTCTTCTTTATATTCCGCTTGCAGGTAGGAGAGTACCAAATCATCCCTCAGGGTGAACATTTATGCTTTTCCTGAAAGATCTTTAAGCTGTTTTCATAACCTTTGTCAGTAACTCATTTTTATACCCACACTGTCAGAAATTCTTCCTTCTATCTAATCTGTGACCTTCAGGCAGTAGTCATAAAATGTGAAAGATATAGATAGTCATAAGAAGTTAATACTGATGGCTTTTCCATTCCATTGTCATAAACACATCATATAGTAGTTATATTTTATTTTATTTTATTTTTTTATAGTAGTTATATTTTAAAGTGATAACATTTGGGACACTGCATTACATTATGAACAAATTATAATTAACTTACATCTAAAAGAAGTCATCCTTCAATTTTCCTATTTCAGTTAATTGTTTGCCTATTG